TTATCTCATTCGACCAACTTATTCTTCATTAATGCTAAATTCTTAACATTGTTAACAAGAACAAAATGGTGATTCCTGCACAAAAAAAAAATCTGAGTGAAACATGAAGCAAAATGAAGCTGTTCAGGGATGAAAACAGCTTCATTATGCAAGAACGTTTCAGCAACCCATTGAAAAGGTTTCGCTTTTCTCAAGATGTTTCCTTTATTTTAAAACCTAAATTTTGACATGGAGATTTTTTTAAAAAAAAGGACGAATCTTTAGTAATTATTAAATATAAGTTCTCTTTATCTCAGAGAAAGGCAACATAAAATTTGCGGCTCTAAATTTTAATTTTTTTTTTTTTAGCTGGACTGAATATAAAAAAAGGCTCTTTTGTTGTAAAGACTCAAAAACATTATAAAAGCAAATGTCTACGCCATAATCATCCATGAGAAACGAATCATGCAAAGTTTATGACTCGATGCAATCTGATGCTTTTTCTTGCATGAAAAGAAGATTTAGATAATATGTTGTTACAATTTAATAAAAATTATTTTTCAACTGCCTTCAGATGACAAGTTTTGAATTAATTAATGAAGGAACATAAATGTATTCAACCTGAATTATTAATGAATTTATGCAGAAGAAATAAAAGAAGTCAGGATGAATGTCGGCGCATCATTCTTCATATTAAAACTGTTTTTATTAATTTATTCTCTAATAAAATAAAGAAGATCAGAACACAGCAGAAGAAGCAAAATAATCAACAGCTTGTGGAATGTACGTCTGTAAAAGAAAATAAAAGCTCCAGCTGGTCCAACATGGGGGGGCTTTATTTTCACCACAGTCAAATAAAGCACCGCTTTTATATATTTATATATAGATATATAGTTTTACATATATATATATATAAAGATATTTATATATACTTTGATAGTTTTTCATATACACCTTCAGGCAATAACTAGAGTGGATTCTTTACAGAATCAAGTTTCTTGTGGTTCTATTCATTTACAGGTAAACTTTGTTTCTGGATAATTAAACCACAGAAAAAAAGTCAAGGCAACTTTCCTTTTGCCTAATTCATAAAGTACAAAACTGGCACAGAGGACGACCATTTTTAGACAGTAAAAATGCAATAAAATTAAATTACAAACGGAGGAGACAGAAGTCGTGTAAACCTTTCCCCGTTACAGCAAACCTAAAATAAAATCACTTTCAAAAACAACTCAGTATAAAACACGCACAAAAACTAAACCTTTTTTTTTTTTTTTTTGCCCTTTGAAAAAAATGTGCCGCAGCTCGTATGATGTGTTGGTCTTTGTGCGACGAGGAGGGGGGGGGCGGGGCTGCGTGGCGCCCAGGAAACATGTCGGGAGCCGCGGAAGCTCTACGCTCCGACTGAGTGGACGTCGGCAGAAGGCAACGAAGAGCAGCGGAGAAACAGCAGAAGAAGAAGAAGAAACCGACGGGCGGCGGATGAAGGACATATCAGCTGATGATATCATGAAGACGGCGACGCTTTAGCAGACAGTTTGGTAACTATGGCAATGGTGGCCTCCACCGTCCTGTGAAGCATGTCCAGCATGTCAGGCGGGGGGGCGCCACTCAGGATGACCTGGGAGGGAGAGGCGTGGCTCCCGTCTGTCCCCTCCCCCACCAGCCCCAGGGCTGATGGCATGGCGGCGTCCTCTGGGGGCGTCGGAGCAGAGCTGCCGCCGCTCTTAGCCGCCGCCTCCGTCTCTCCAGAGGAGGCGGGCGGCGGTCCTCCTCTCCGTCCCTCTGGCCGCTCCTCTTCCTGCTCCTCGGCTGCCTCTGCAGGCTGCTGCCCTTCGGGCTCCTCCCCCTGAACGAATCCCTCTCCTACTTCCTGCAGCAGGGAGGAAGATGATGAGGAGGAGAACGAGGAGGATGATGATGATGATGAGGAGGCCTCCATCTTCTCCTCTTTTAAAGAGGAGTCCAGATTTCTAGAAGTAGCTGGCGTTGGTTCAGGAGAGGGAGGGTCCTGCTCTGTGCCAGGGTCAATTAAGGAAGAGGAGTCCCGCGTCTCGGTGTCTGAGGTGCTGGTGGGCGTCAGCGCCTCCTGGTGGTCAGGCTTTGACTCACTGCAGACGGGCAGAGCTGAGGAGGAAGAGGCCATGCAGAGGGGAGCGGCGGCATCTCCGACACGGTCGTCGTCTGTGCTCATCCTGCGGCGCTTCACGGGCGTCGCTCCTTCATCCTCACCTGAAACAGTCAATACACCAATCAATGACAGCAGAGCGTCCTGCACGGAAACCACGGAGGAAGCGACTCTGATCTCCGTACCTTTGGACTTATGGTCCTTGGCCTCCAGCTCCAGAGCACTGCGCTGCTGCAGACAAAGACGACAGCGACCCAGCAGCTCCTGCAGGGCGGGGCTGAGGGCGGGGTCAATGTTTGGAGGAGGCTGGATGGAGAGCAGCAACACCAGAGCCCTCAGGTCCTGAAATGAAAGAACAGTTAGAGCAGAATAAACTAGGAAGGAAGGAAGGAAGGAAGGAAG